TAAAGATAAATGCCAATGAAGAACATTGGGGATGTGTCTTTAAAGTAAAAAATCTTTATAAAAAAGATTAATTGATTTTTGGCTACAATTTCAGTAAATTCAAACCGAATGAAATAAATTATATTATCTTTGAAAAAGAATTATTAGCCATAAAAAATGGTGTACAATGATTCCACATCTATTTAGCCCCTAAGATCTTTGTTATCCGAACAGATAACCAATCAGTAAGAAACTTTCTTTAAAATAAAAAGCTTTATGATAATCCCAGGCATATTAGGTGGTACAATTTTTTTTTATCAATATCATTTTCAGGTAGAGTTCATCAACGGAGACAAAAACCTCTTAGCAAACTATTTGAGCCGACCCAATGGATCGAGGAAAACAACTTCTCCAAGATACAAAAGAATGGAGAACAATCAAGAAGAAAACAGGTAAAAAGCCTTCATCTTCTTCTACTTCTCCAAGACCCCATGTTTTCTCTACAAATCCTAACCCAGGATTTAGTTTTTACAATAATCCTAACCAAGGATTATATCTCTACCAACAACCACTTTACAGACCTCCTTTCATGAGGATTCAACCAGAATTCTCTCAATTCACTCAAGATCAAAATGAATGGACACCCATGAGTTACTCTCAAATAGTTTTTTCAGCAAAACAACTGCTTAAAAGAACAAAACTCTCTAACCCAGAGATCAAAAATTTTTATAACCTTGACTTGAACCATAAGTCTACAGTTTGTTAAACAATGTTTGGAAATCCCATCTCTCAGAAAATAAATCTAGCTTTCGAAAAGGAATGACCAAATTAGCTGAATTCTTAGTCAACCAGGTTAAAAAATTTCAGAGTTTTAAAAAAATAACTTTTCAAAGCCTTCTATCAACAAATCTGCTAAAATAACAAGATATTGATTTCTTTGCTTTGGAAGAAAATCAGTACAATATTTAAGAGATAAACAATTTTTTGAATTTATGTGAATATCTTGAAAAAGAGAATTATAATTCCTCTAAGCTAAACAAGCTTATAAGAATCCTTCTTTTTAAAAAAGCTACGGTATTCTTAACCAAGAAATTATTTCAGTAAATTAATTCTTCTATTCTACAGTTAGCAGAAAATTGTTGATAAATTTTTTTTTATTATTATACTTCTACTTATATGTATAATATTGCACTCGGTGAATTTATACCGAAAATTAAATTTCAACTCGATCATGAAACTTTTGATGTAAAAACCATTGAACTTGGTTTAGTCAGACAAATTACTGTACAAAACTTTTCTTTTCATCTTTTAAAAGATTTTTCTGTTTTTATAAAGCATCACTTTTACGGATGTATAAAATGTTCAAAACATTTTTATTACATCTATTTTACTATATACAATCTTTTGGGTTCCTTTCAAAGAGAAAGATTTTACCAACCATATCAAATATGAGAATTTGATAGAATATCCGATAGACATTTTCTACAACCGCTTACCATACTTGATCCACCAACAGAGCATATCGATTTCTCAAATGATTTAAACAAAACCATCACTAAATATTTAAACTCAAACAGTTATCATTTTCAAACAGGAATTGACCTAATGGAAAAAGCAAAATTCTTTCTCCGTTTAGCTACAAAACCAGATTACCTTAAAATAGCCTGCTGGACAGATGTCAGACGAATTTTTGTCCTTAGATTTATTGAACCACATGAAGATCTGGACATTCAAAATGAACTAGAAGTAATCCAGCTACTGGAAAAATTATCTACCATGAAAGATCTAGATCATCCCACATAATTACTATACTAGTACCAAGAAGGATGGTAAATATGGAACAAATCACATTTTAGATCTCCTCTATCATCCCAATCTCTTAATGCACTGGATGAAGAACTCTATAACATAAACAATATTATGGAAGGATAATTACTATACATATTCCAAACAAAGATAAGCTAACTGCCGATACAAAATAATAAGTTCACTCAGCTTTAGAGACTAGCAGACAAAAAAAAATTATAAGAGTCAACTGTAACAATCACTGTAACAGAAAAAGATAGAGACTTATCATTGAAATCACTGTAACAATACTTTAAATAAAATTTTACTATACACTATAACAGAAACTGTACATAATTACTATTCAAAATTTTTCTATTTAAACCTTTATTGTAATTAGTTTTAAGCATTCTTTTGGCATTCTATTCTTTTTCTTCTCCCTTCTCTTTCTCTCTTTAATCCACCATTTTCTACTTGTAAATTCTTAAGTTTAGCTTATAAAAATCTTTATACATAAATCTTTTCCGTATTTATTTGTAAATGAGTTCACTTTTATGTTTTTGAGGCTGAGTGGGGGTACGGGGCTTGAACTTGAACTTGAACTGCTACAGTAAGGGTAACGGATAAGCTCAAATCCCTCCCACTTCTCTTAGCATGTGGAGAACACCGTTTCTTCTGAGAACATTTTCTAATGTTTTTTCTCAACTTTTTCTATTTGGTTCGTGCACGTGCAATGAAGGAGGGAGACAGTGATGCTGATTACGATGACGTTAATAGGTTAATTACAGTAGACTCAGACACCAACGTTGCCAGGGAAAGCTGAAATTAAGATTAGTGTCGAATTGTCTTCCTAAATCTCGTCACTGGTTGTCAAAGACTTAGGGCCCTCTTGGGCGTTGGGAGCGGCTCTTAAGAAAATTAAAAGCAGTCAAATCTGTTACTTATAATAAAAGGAGTCCCCGACTCCAATTGTAAGTACACGTACTCAATGTCAAAAAGAGAAAAAGAGAGGATAGATTTAGACAAACAATCAATTGGAAGAAGTTTTTAAAAGGCGTCTTTTTCTTTCTTGATTCATGTTTAGGTCGACAATGGGCATTGATGCTATTATAGTCGGTTCTTCACGACCTTTTCATTCTTTCCTTCTCTCCTCAACTCAAACAGTTGTTTCAAATTTTAATCTCCAATCATTCAAATTTCAATCTCCAGTTAAAGTCTCCATTTGGTAATATTTCCTTCTTGGACCTTCAGAACAGCAACCATGCATGCTGTTCTTTAGAATTGGTAAGCTTGATAGTTGATGTCCCGCCATTTTTGTGGTTGCATGTTTTAATTTAGAACAAAAAATACTTCTATATATATGCATGTGTTGCCCAAAAATCAAATTGCATGTTTTAATTGAGAACAAAGAATGTTTCTGGAAGTTTTTATATTCAAGTTTTCTGCGGTTGCATGTTTTAATTAAGAACGAATCTGGCAATTGCGCATTTAAAAATAGTGATGACTCTTGGAATAACTTGAATAAGGATGGTTCGAGGTTGAGCGAAGTCAATTTTATTGGCGCAAAAATTGTCCTTAGAAGTTACAAAAATGTGCAAGGATTTGGAGCAGAAAGAGAAGATTTTGTCCGTAATGCTAAGGAAATCTAAGTTGTATACGACAGAGAAGCAGTTGCCTTTGAAGGAGATTAAAGTATCAAAGGCAAAGAAGAAGCAAGTTGAACTAGAAACAGAAAGGTGGTGGGCAGTCTCTGAGTCTAGACATGAGAGACATTCATTGGAGTCTATTTTTGCTAAACAAACCGTTTCAAAATTGGATGTTTCCTTGGGTGTCGAAGAGTTGTCAAACTCTGGTAAAATCAGATTACAGCCGACTGATATTATTTTGGAATATGACTATTCAGAGTTGAAAACAGATCCAGAAGTCTTTTCTCCTCTTCCTGATTATCATTCTCCGGAAGGGGGTAAGGGCTTGGGTAAGAACAATTTCTTTATAATTCTCTTGATCACCAAGCATTGTGTATGAATAGTATATGGGATCCAGTCGAACGCTTACTGTGTTAAGATCGTTATCATTTTTGTATTAGATTTTCTTTTCTTGTTTTGTGTTTTTATTCTTTTTCTGTCCTTGCATTTGAAGTAGTGACAGTTGATGTCAAGAGATTGGGGTTGGGTTTGAGCAGCAGCAAAAAAGTATGAAACTGTAATTGAGAAGCGACACCTTTTGAAACTGGATGCCTTTGCAGAACAAATGAGATTGAAAGATGAGAAGTTAGAGGCTTTTCGTTGGCATTTGCTGAGCATGGAACTAGAATCCAATTAGCTAAAGTTCCATGTTGAAAGACTGAACCAGGATGTGTCACAGCTTAGACAGGACAATATGAATGTTAAACTGTGTTTTATTTGTTTTGGATTAATAATTGGGGGTGGTATGTATTCGATTGTTTTGTATTCATTGCAATTTAACAATCAAATGATGCAGGCCTCTCTCAATTCTCCATCTGATTTCCTCATTGCCCTTTCGTTGCAAGCTCAAATCCTCTTCTCTGGTTGAACAACCGCATTTGATTCACCTCCATGCCTCTTGCTTTTATGAATTCAAGGTTCTTTAATTTCTTTCATTTTTTTATTCAAAACTTTAATTACATTTTTAGTGTTTTAATATAATTAATTGTTTTTTACTGTGGTTTCTTAATTGGCAGCAGTTTTGATTTGAGATGAGGAGGTTCATATAGTGGTAATGCCAAGTAAACAAAATGTAATTTAAAACTTAATGGATAATAGGGATTAAGACTATACAATTCCTGCTTAGAGTTTGTACAATTCAACTGGATTTGTATAATTTCATAACCTATTTGTGCAATTTATACAATCCCTATGGATCTCTAGGACCTTAAACAACACAAACCTTAAACGGGTAATGAGGAAATCGTTTGTGCAATTCATATGGTTTTTGCAATTCAACTGGATTTGTGTACAATTCCTGCTTAGCACAAATCCAGTTGATGCTTAGTGAAATTACACAAACATTAAGCATCCGGTTGAAATTACACCTTAAATCAAGCATCCCTAAGTAGTAATTGTTTCAACTGGATTTATGATGTAATTTAAGACTTAAGACTTTAAGAGGTGTCACATGGAATTTACTGAGCTGATTATCATCCTGTGATGTAGGCATTATGATAAGTACTCAATATCACACATTTCTACAGAGCATGGGATGAATAGATGGAATCTATTTGGAATATGAATCTGTGTATGTTATCTTATTTATGAATAGTTTGCCTTGTTCAGATTGGTGAAACCAGCGTGCTTGTGATGTTATGTCTTGCGTGGGAGGAATTGAGAAGTTATTTGACTATAAAATGACAAAAATGCTTTGAAGTATATGTTTGTAATATGGCTGAAAGAGATTATGCCTTAGAGATGCGGAGACTTCTTGATCCAGAGGCATACCTGATAAGTTCAAAGCAACTACTAGATTGAGTTGTTTGTGTCAAATCTGGCAAGTGTATAACAATTTTAAATATTTTCTTTTGTAGTTGGATCTTGATGTTTTATCATTCTAAAAACGAAACTTCATAAAGTAATTATGTTATTTTGTGGAATCTAAGTTGTTGAATCTTAATTTTCGATGAGCATATTTGAAAACTGATGGTTCAAACAAAGAACCTGTTGTAGTAAGTAGTCTCCTTTTCTTGATGGTAGCCCCACCTTGCCATCTACTTTAATAAATTCAATGTCCTTTTGTTTTTTAATAATTGTTGCAAGTTTCAGGCAATCTTTGCTAAAGGTGTTCCGAGATGGCAAGTGCATCCATAGATGGCAATGGTAATTGATGACCGTTCAAAGGTCTGGTAGGATAAGGATCAACCTAGAGTTCATGTAGTTCCTTAATTTGCACCATATTATGCTCCTCAGGCAGAGGTACATGATATGCCTTTTTGGTAAGCCAACTTATTGAGATATGATTTCTTTTTTCTAATTTTTTTGGCAAATTCTCTCCCTCCTTTATTAGACAGTGAATGCAGTTCCAATCCTCTGCGTAGCAAGAAATGTTGCATGCAATTTCAAAGGTTTGTTTTTCAAGTAAGCCATTAATTTTGAATGTTCAATTCTTTATAAATGGGTATCTATCCTCATCATCCTCTTATGTTTGCATTTCTAATTTCTGATGGTACATTTTATCTAGAGAGTTTGATGAGAATGTATTACCAAAACTACATGAAGATTTCTATGAAGACGAGGTGGCAAATCTGCCTCTTACTCCTGATGTGAGCAGCTATTTGATGTCAGAGGTACCTAAATTGACAGTATATGATAATTAAATAATTGAGACAAACTTTGAATTCCCAGTTGTATTTAAAGCATTTACTTGTCACTAATTTGCAGGATTCTGGTTTTGCTCCAAATGGGAATAGTGGTGTTTCTATCAGTGAAGGAATGAATGGAATTGAAGTTGAGCAGACAACGAATCAATCGATAAGGTTTGGGTAATTACGTGGTGAATAAATATAAACTTATGTTGTGGACAAGTTTAGCGTAGGAGATGTTGGCATTCGTTGTATTATTGGATGTTGCAGAAACTGCAGGCCATGCAACACAGATCATGAACAATATTGCAACAAGAAGATTTGGTCATGCAATGATGTCTACACTGATGGCAAACCCACACAAGGTGGATTTACTGGATCCATGGTCGTTTATCAAAAGTAAGGATCATAAGTTCAAAACTATCAATCGTAATCATAAACATTATGTGTTCTGCATAAAAACATTGCTAAGATGACTTTTTTTTTTCTCCAATTCCCAGGTTCCTTAATTGCATGATTATAGAGTATTTAGCTAATTTTCAAGCCAAACTAAGTCTCATATTAATCATGAAATATATAATCTAGAAGTTAATAATACAACAGTCCAAGAGAAATTAGTTTCAACCTGTGCCTTTCTTTTATGGAGTTTTTTTTTTTCTTGGTAAATGAACTTATTTGTTGTCATCTGTTTTATGTTTGTGGTGAAAATCCCAGATGGAATGGCACCGGAACAAGTGGCACCGCTCTTATGTGCTGGGGTGACTGTTACAGCTCACTAAATGACTTTGGTTAATTGGGGAGTGGTTTAAGAGGAGGGATATTAGGATTTGGAGGAGTAGGGCACATGGGGGTGAAGATAGCAAAAGCAATGAGACATCATGTAACCGTTATAAGCTCTTCTGATAAGAAAAAAATAGAGGCCTTCGAGCATCTTAGTGCTGATGACTACTTTGTCAACTCTGACACTGAAGGGATGCAAAAGGCTGCTGATTCACTTGACTACATTGTTGACACTGTACCTATTTTTCACCCTCTTGAGCCTTACCTTTCATCGTTGAAACTCGATGGAAAGTTGATCTTGACAGGTGTTATTAACACCCCTCTTCAGTTTGTTACCTTTATGGTCATGCTTAGTGAGTCAAATTCTTTAACTTTGAGCAAATTTTATATTTTATATTTTTAGGTTTTCAATAAAGCTCGAAATCTGAATTTCTGGTTCTTGAGGTCAGTAAGTAAATGCTTCTCATTTTGACTGCTCGGTTCTTTGTTTTGGCTATAGCCTTTGAATATTTTTAAGCCTTTGGTGAACACTTTATGTTTATAGTTTAAATAAGCCCGCAGCATAGTGCAGGATACCAACTAGTTAGTTAATATAGCTACCGTGGTAAAATTAAAATTAATTATTGAAATAATGTAGTTTTATGTATACATTAATATTATTTGTAAAACTTAAAATTATAAATTTTTATTCAAACAAAACATTAATATATATTATTTATTAATTATTTATATAATAATAAATTTTATTTTATTAATTTATTGTATAATGATAAATTTTTATTTATATATTAAATTAATAAAATTATTTTAAAATTTTTAAATAAAAGATCAAAATGGAAACAAAAAAATAAAAAATAAAAATTTAGTGATAAAAATATTTTTGCATAATTATTATAACCTCAAGGAAAATAAAGAGACATGAACTGAATTGAAAGAAAGGGTGTAATGAAAAGAAAGATTTTCAATAAACCTTTTAGATCAAGAGAAAAAAAATTGTGGCACGGTAAAAATATTCAACCGTGCCACACTTGTGTTAATCGAACATCGTGATAGGAGGGACTGGAAAAGAAATCTGTGTGAAATCTTGTATAGAAGCTAAAGCCATAGCAGCAAGAGAAGGAGTATGGCTAGCACAGAAAGAAAGGTTCTCAAAAGTTGTATTGGAAATGGATTCCCTCATTCTCTATTACCATCTTTGTTCTAGAGTTACTGAACAAGAGTGGAGAATTTAGCCAGTGGTAAAAGACATATTAAGAAGTATTAAGAGGCTGGAGGAAGTCAAATTTGTGTGTGTGGATAAAAAAAGCTAATAAACTGCGAATTGGAGAGCTGTCCAATTCAGAAAGAAGATGAGCCTTGACAGCCGGGTGAATACACCCAATCTTTCTTTAATGTTCATACTTGATAAGGATGGATTACCTGCACCGCCATAATTGTTTTGTTAAGTACATTGATATGCAGTGATGTTCTGTGAAGATTTCTATGTGTATCTTTGTATTATTGCAACTGATCTTGGAAGTGTATAGGATGGTTTCTATGAATACAATGCTTGAATTGGCCCAAAAAAAAAATCGTGATGATACGGTTAGGTAAAAAAAGTAATTCAAATGGCACTGAACTGGGGTGCCGCTGCGTCCAAATGCAATCTTGGATACTTTTAGCTTATGTTACTTAAGACCTTAGTCTTAAGGGTTAAATATTAAAATGACATAAGCATTATAAATTTTTTATTAATTTAATATCTAAAAAAATAAAATTTTCATTTTAGTATCCAAATTTTATTTTATTAAATATTTTGATACTTTAAACTAATATATTTAATCAAGTTGCTTATGCAGTAATCAAGTTGCTTATGCAACATTAATATCTAATACAATTATAACAGGTGATATAAATCTTCAATTATTATCATATCATCTATTTTCATATCATTTTTTAAAATTTTTTATTTTAAAAAAATCAAAATTTATTTTTTTATTTTTAAAATTTTTTTAATGATATGGTTGTAGACACTGTTTTATTAATTAATTATTTTTTTTCTTTTTCTTTCTTTTCTTTTTTTTTCTTTTTTCCTCCTTTTGGTAGCTTTACTGTTGACTACCGGCAGTTGCATTGCCAATAGCTCTAACAGCCGCCTACAGTTGCCAGCCACTCTGACAGCTACCGGTAGCAATTCTGACAGCCAATGACCACCCTAATCGTAGGTGATCAAAATCTCAAAATATCTGAGATTTTGATCTTCCTCTTGCTCTATAAATAGAGCTGTAAAAAACACCATAAGAAAAAAAAAAAAAGAAACCCAAAGCACTGCAAAAAAATATGCCAAATTAAAAAAGAAAAAAATTTTTTATCAAACAAAAAAAATCCAAAGCAAACCAAAACACATACAAACACAGAAACAACAGCTTCTGGAAACAAGGACCACAGTGCCAAACGAAAAACAACACAAACATAAAAAAAAATTTATCGAACCTTCCAAGCCAGATCTAGGCCATTTAGAGCCCATTTTCACAAAAACAGGCCCAAATCTGGACTCAGGAGGTTGGGAACATCCATTTGGTGAATCTTGAGATTTTTTTAGGTAACCGACGAACAACGGTCGGCAACCACTAACGGGGGTCGACATGACGGAGCAATCGTCTGATTCTGGGTTACTAGAAAGAGAAGGAGAGAGTCTGAGAGGAAGAGAGAGAAAGAGGAAGAAGAAAACAAAAAATAGCTAATTTGGCCTTTAAAACGACGTTGTTTAGGAAAAAAGCAAAACGACGGTATTTCAACCCTAGAAGATCCGTGCGTCAACCCGCAACCTGACCTAGGATCCACGCACCCGACCCGAATACCCGTTATCTCTTTTGCCTCTCAATCGGTCTAGTTGAACTAGGCCAAACCGAACCAAACTGACGTCGAATCGCTGAACTCAAACCAATCGGATTGAACCACCAAACCAACTCAAACTCGCGTTGACCAGACCATTAACCGGTTCGGTTCAGGTAAAAAAAAAATTTTTGAAAAATTTTTTATATATTATTTTAAAATTTATTATTAATATTCATGCATATTAAAATGTTTAATTTATTAGAATAATTTTTTATTGAAATAAGTAAAAATATATGATAAAATATATAATAAAGTTTTTTTGATAATTTTGTTAATTTTAGAATAAATCTTATAAATTAATAAAAAAATAAGAAAAAAAATTTTTATCGGACGATGAGATTCAAATATATTCCGAGTAGTGATACCTATGAAATCTCTAGGTGAGAAGATTTTTTTTAAATACTACCAATGTATTGAAATATTTATAAAAGGTTTTCAATATAATAAAATTTTTTCTATTAATAATAAATAAAATTAACTAACTTATTGAAAACAAAGTGATAAAGGAATAGTAATAAAAAATAAGAAAAAAGGAAATCTTATCCAATTATGAGATTCTAAAAGTATTCCGAGTAGCGATGCTTTACGAAATCTCTAAATGAAAAGATTTTTTAAATTATTACCAGTATATTTGAATATTTATAATAAAACTTCAATATAATAAAAATTTCTTTTTTTTTCTTCAAAAATTTAACTAAAAAGGAAATCAATTAATAAAATTTCTAAACAAAAAATAAAATGTGTGTATTAACGTATTATCATTTGTATTGCATGCATGGCATAGTTTTTTTATGAAAAATAAATTTGAACCTCCGAAGATGAGATTCTAAAGTATTCCAAGAAACGATACCCAAAAAATCTCTAGGTAAGAAAGAGTTTTTCTAATGTTACCAATGTACTGAAATATTTTAAGAATTATTTCAATACAAATGTTCTAATTTATTTTTTCAAATAATATTTGAATATAAACACCAATTCCCAATAAATGAAAAAATCAAGAAAATTATTTTTCAAAGACCGAAAATAAGACTATTTTTTTTCAAAATCAAAGAATAACAGATAGTTAAGTGGTACCATTTTTAAACGGGCATTGTGGGGGTGCTAATCCTTCCTCACGTGTAACCAACTCCTGAACCCAGACTGTTTTACAGATCATAAAATTAGTTTTTTTAATAAATTTTAATTAATTTTAAAATGTTATTAAAATGATAAATTTTAATAGGTGGTCAATTGCACATAGCCAAAAAAAAGTTGTGGTGACTCTTTTTTTTATTTTTTTCAAATTCATCGAACGAACACAAAACCGTTATGATAGCTTGGTGACTCCACTGGAGAGTAATTTATTTTCGAGAGTTAGGCCAAAATTAACTACATGTTATCTTTAAATTTTGATTAAAACAGTCATAATCAATTTTTTTAGATTTTATTTTTCGCTTTCAATAAAAATAAATAAATCAAAAACAAAAAGAAAAATTCACACGTGTTTTTTTTACTGTCTCTTATACTTTATTTTTTTTTATATATATTACTCTTGATAAATTAGGAAACATATACACATAATGACACAATGCATCTCATGCATGAGTTCTATACCTAGGCTCAGTCCCTTATAGGGAAAGTAAAGTACCTATGCCCTCGTGAGGTGATAACCTCTGTAATGGCAAGTGAAATACTTTCATTCAAATTGAACCATTTTCGTTCGTTAATGGGTGAGGATCGGGGTGCCTTACTAGTCCAGCATGGACGACAGTAAGGAACAATTTGAGAATCTTTAGACACATATTAACTCAAACCCAACATGTAATAAGCCTAGGAAGCTAACCTTAGGTAGAGCCTCGTCCACCTTCTTGTAGAAAATACCTTAGTCCAAAACATATGAGAACAAAAGTTGTGTGTAATACATAACAAAACAAAACAAAAATCTCAAACTAAAAAAAAAATTTTTTTTTCTCTAAACCACATCCTTATACTAACTCAATTTTGTTTTCTTTTTTTTTCTCTTTTACATTAATCATATCATATAATTCTGCATCAAGATCTTTACTCTATGATATCTCTTTCTCGATAAGTCTTCATGGATCTTATAGAACTACATATTTGCTCATCCTCAGTCAATGTCTCATATGAACCATATAATGAAGTATATGTTTGGTCAAAAGAAATCCAACAAAAAAATGAAGATTGCCTTTCTACCAATTACGTGTCAGAGTTACCCGAGAAGGTGCATTTGGATCTCACGCAGAATGATTTAGAAGACTTAGCCGCTATCTAGGGGTCAGTTAAATGAAAAGAAAAAAAAAGCTTTTGCAAGAAGTACGGGTATATTGCATCTTTTATTTCGGTAGTGATGGATGAACAGTTGATTAGAGCAGCTATACAATTTTGGGATCTGTCCTATAGATGTTTCACTTTTAATCAGGAATATTCGATGCCAACTATTGAAGAATATTTGATTTTGCTCAGGATAGAACTATAGTTTTCAGATAAAGTATTTACCCGAAAGACAAAATCAGGTTATCGTAAAAAGTTGATCAAGCTTATGAGGGTTAAACTGGAAAC